CCCCTCTCCCTTGCAGAGCTGAAGGAGGGGCTGACCCGCATGAGTGTGGATCTGAAGAACAACCTGCTGGGCTCGCTGCGGGTGGCCTGGCAGTCCTTCACCCGCGCCCCCGTGCCCGCCCTGGAGGCAGCGAGCAGCGAGGCCGAGCCAGAGGCAGAGGGGAGCACGGAGAGGCTGCCAGGTCAGTGTGGGGTGAACGGGGCAGGGGGGGCATGAGAGGGACATGGTGCCCCTCCTGTGCCCAGCAAAGGGGTCACTGTGTGCTGTGGATGTTCCTCATCTGTGCCCAGTGAGGGGTCACCCGTGTGCTGTGGATGCTCCTGTCCCTCTCCTGTGCCCAGCAAAGGGGTCACCCGTGTGCTGTGGATGTTCCTGTATTCATCTGTGCCCAGCAAAGGGGTCACCCCTGTGCTGTGGATGTTCCTGTTCCTCTCCTGTGCCCAGTGAGGGGTCACCTGTGTGCTCTGGATGTTCTGATCCTCTCCTGTGCCCAGTGAGGGGTCACCCGTGTGCTGTGGATGTTCCTGTACTCATCTGTGCCCAGCAAAGGGGTCACCCGTGTGCTGTGGATGTTCCTGTTCCTCTCCTGTGCCCTGCAAAGGGGTCACCGTGTGCTGTGGATGTTCCTGGCTCTCCCCAAATGCTGTGGCCTTTCCCTGTTGGCACCTGCTGGAGGGGTTTTCTGGGGGGTCTCAGACGTGACAGCACCTTTTAAGCCATCCCTTGCTGTTCCCGAGCATTGCACTGCCTGTCCCTTGTGAGAGCAGGGGCAAAGGGACAGCACAGCCCTGCTGTGGGATTGTCACAGCCCTGCTGTGGGATTGTCACAGCCCTGCTGTGGGATTGTCACGGGTGGCACAGCCCTGCTGTGGTGTTTTCACAGCTCCTGGTGCCCTGTGCCTGAACCACTCTGCTCTTTCTCCCTGCAGACACAAAGCCCGAGGAGCCCCCGGCAGCAGCGAAGGAAGAGCCCCCTCCCATCAACGTGGGGAGGCTGAACGGGGGGAACCGCATCGACTACGTGCTGCAGGAGAAGCCAATAGAGAGCTTCAACGAGTATTTGTTTGCACTCCAGGGGCATCTCTGCTATTGGTGAGTGGCTGTAATTCGCAGGGCTCCAAAGCCATGTGTGGTAGAAGCAGAATGGCAGCAGTTTCAGAGTTGGAGTGGTAAGAAAAGCCTCAAAGGGAGCGATGCCCATGGGGTGGGCAGGGACAGGAGGGCACTGCTGGGGCTCTCCGTGCAGAGAGCAGAGCACCAGAGTCACCCAAACCATCACAAACATCCTGACAGAGTGCAGGGAAGCACCAGAGTTATCCAAACCACCAAAACATCCTGACAGAGTGCAGGGAAGCACCAGAGTTATCTAAACCATCACAGACATCCTGGCAGAGTGCAGGGAAGCACCAGAGTTATCCAAACCATCAAAACGTCCTGACAGAGTGCAGGGAAGCATCCTCTGATTGTCCCCTCCTCCTCCAGGGAGTCGGAGGACACAGTTCTGCTGGTTCTGAAGGAGATCTACCAGACAAAAGGCATCACGTTGGATCAACCTCTRCCAGGAAGCCAATGACCAACCTGTGCTGTTCTGGCCGTGAGTCCCCTTTGCCTAAAACCCCTTCTGGATTTCCTGGGACACCTCAGAGGACCCTGGTTTGTTTGAGGGAGTAATGAATTGAGCCACAGCCTCCTTTGGGCTGTCAGCACCTTTGGCTTCTYCCCTTTCCCTGCACTTGAACACGATCAGACACGAGGAGAGAGCCCAGAGGCTCCTGGGGGCTGTGCTGGGTGGATTTTGGCTGCTTCACTGCAGTTCCTGCTGTGTTCTCCTTTTGCTTTCTTAGATCCAATTCCACTGAGCACTCACCAGGAAAGTCCAGATCTCTTCTCTGCCTTCCTCTCTCCTCTGCTGCCATGTCCTGCATGCTGCTTCCCAAGAACTTGCTGCTACCTGGAGATGAGGATGGATTTTCTTCCATTTTGGGTAAGGGTGGGGGTAAAAACTGTCAAGGGAAAACACTTCTCAAACACACAYAGCACTGTCCAGTGACTTCCTGTGGCAATGTGTACTTTTAACCCTGGACCCTGTGAGTCCCAGAGCAGCTCCAGCCCTGCAGCAGAAGAGCTGAACCCACTGAGATCCCAGCTCGGTGAGGACACTCAGAGCTTGGCACCTTGAGGAGAAAAAGCCTTAAACACCARCGTGGAGAGAGCTCCAGCAGCCTTGAGGAGAGGGACATTGCTGAGTGCTGGCACAAAGCAGGACTGCGGGGAGGGGAAGTGCAGGGCACGGCTGCTGCTGAGGCTGCGGGGTCACATTGAGCATCCCCCTGCTGTCCCTTACACTGAGTGACATCCAGCAGTCCCCTCGTGTCCCTCACATTGCTGCTGTGTGTTTGTGCAGCCCTGGGCTGTGCCAGGCAGTGCTGCCCCAYTGAGCACCCTGTGAGTGACCCGTTTGTGCTCCTCCCTGCTGTGGTGACCCCTTGGCACCCTTGCCCAGCCCACACCCCAAACCAAGGCCCTCCCCTGGCACTCCCCAGGCCAGTGCCCAGCTGTACCAGCTCCCAGGAAAGCCTCACACCCCACTCAGGCAGCCAGGGGACAGCAGCTGCTGGTGGCAGTGCCAGGGCAGTGYGTGCCCTCTGTGCCCTGCAGGGACACRGSTGCTGATGGAGGTGTCACCCCTGCCACGCTCCAGTCCTTGTTTTTAGCTTTAAACACCAAAATCAGAGTTGGAGCCCGGCTCCAGCAGGGTGTGGGCACTGCAGGAATGGCAGCAGCTCTGCAGGAGCTCTGCTYTGTGACCCTCCCTGAGGTGGTTCTGTGCAGCCTCTGGAACATCCAAACCACTTCCCCTCCTGCTGACTTTCACCCTGCATGGGGAAAGGAGCCTTTCTGCCTCACAGCCTGTTGGTTTGCTTTTCCTCCCTTGTCTGTTATTTGCACTATTGGAAGGGTTTTGTTTGCAGCCTCCATCCCTCCTCCCCTGGCAGGGAACAGAAATTGTTCTCTGCCTGACTGCAGGAACTGCTGAGTCAGCACCTGAACTGCTGGCTCAGGTCTCCAACCAGAGTTGGAAAGGGACAGTCTTAACATGGATACTAATGATCAGCTTTTTAAGTTATGCACTTTGTTAAAAAAAAAAAAAAGTTAAATACATTTTAAATGTTATTTAATGTCTTTTCCAGTAAAAGCCAAAATAAATAAGTAGATGACTGTAGTGTGTGCATGTCTGGGGGAGGAGGGAAGGGCTGGAGAATTCAGTGTGCAGTTTCAGGGGACACTGGTGCTATTTCTGTGATTGTGTTGGGGCTGCAGCCTCCCCTGGGCTGTCCAAACACCCTCGATGAAAACACAGACCTGTCTGTGGAGGGACCAGTGACAGAAACTGCCCCCAGAGCTCTGCCAGGAGAGTGGCCCTGGATCTCTGACACAGCCCATGGGCAGGGAAATGAGCACCTGTGCAGGGATGTTCTCAGCTACCTTTCCATTTTCTGCTGTCATCTTAAAACCATACTAAAGCTGCAAGGAAAGAGATRGGATATAAAATAAGCACCCACCAGAAACACCTGCAGACACAAGAGGAAGTGCCTTATAACACAACCACCCAAGCCTTGAAGKAAAGTTTTAGTACCAGAGCTCATTAAAAAAATTAAACTCCTTTATTTGGGAAATAGAAAAACCTCRAGGCTGGCAGGTCCTACACTTCATTTTGTGGAGAAGAGCTGGAACAGCCAGGCTGGAGCACAGGGAGGTGCCCAGTGGAGCCTCCTGGACTGGACACCAGACTGGGCATGCTGAGTCCTCACATTTTCCCAGTTGTGGTTCAGGTCCTTCACACCCCAACAGTTTTCCTGCAGGTTGGCACCTCCCTCCTTCTCAGGGGGCCTGAAGAGGGGGTGGTGCACAAAATTAAAAGAAGCAACACAAGAGCCTGGACAGGAACTCACCAGCCCTGCAGGGCCCCATCCTYAGCAGAGCCTCCTCTGGGAGCAGCTCCCCAAAGCCGGGCCCAGAGCCCAGCAGAGCCCAGCCTAAACGTTCAGGTGGAAATTGGGGGCTGGAGGCTTCTCCTCGTGTGCTGGCAGCGCTTTGGGCTTGCACAGAGATGGTTTGTGGCACATGGGGTCTGCCAGGGGAGGGTAGTAYTGCCTGTAGCACAGGTAGGCGAGCAGCAGGCCCATGGCTGAGCCAACCAACACATCTGTGGGCAAGAGAGAGCAGAATTAATGGTCCTTCACCCTCACAAACCTCGTGATTGAATTCCCCAGCAGCAGCTTTTCTGCTGGATCCAGAACCACACTTGGCTGTAAACCCAAGTTTGGTATGTATTTCAAAAACACAGAGAAAGGCATCAGTTCCCTGCAGGTGGCACTAAAATTGCAAATTTGGAGGGGATAAAAAACCCACCCAGATTGCTCCTGGAGGCTCTGAACAGCTGTGTGGCACCACAGGGGCAGCCTGACCCACCTTGCCAGTGGTGTTTGTAGTCACAGGTACGGGACAGGGCGATGAGGGTGGCGAGGAAGAGTGGCAGGAGGAAGGCACAGAGACGCAGGGCACGGCCCCCCCTGCCTGGAACAAAGCTGTGCAGCTTTCCTGCCAGGTACAGGGCAGAGAAGGTGAGACCAGCAAAGGCAACTGCAAGAGAACAGAAAGTGTTGGTTCAGAACAGCTCCAGGCTCTGCAGGCAGATCCTCACCCTCCAGTGCTGCTGGGAGAGGTGTCTGTGTGTCTGTCCTGTCCTGGGAGCCAAGGGAAGTGCTGGGAGTGATGGATCATCTGAGAGTGATGGATCCTAGAAGCTGCTGCGGGGCACACATCCCCCTCCTCCCAGGTTTACAGACACCTTTGGACCACATTCCTCACACCCCATGGCTTTGCAGTGAGAAACCTGAGGCCCCTGACCAGGTCAGCAAGCACAGACAAAGCTGTGGGGTGCAGGAAGGAAAACCCAAGCTGCCCTCCCCATGGCCCTATTCCCCATGGCCCAGCTCCCCATGCTCCCCACAGCCCTGTTCCCCATAGCCCTGCTCCCCATGGTCCTATTCCCCATGGCCCTGTTCCCCATGTTTCCCATGGCCCTGTTCCCCATGTTTCCCATGGCCCTGTTCCCCATGTTTCCCATGGCCCTGTTCCCCATGTTTCCCATGGCCCTGCTCCCCATGGTCCTATTCCCCATGTTTCCCAAAGCCCTGCTCCCCATGCTCCCCAGGGCTCAGTCCCCATGGCTGCAGCAGAAGCACAGTGCAGAGCTCACAGGATGCATGTCCACTGGGGAAGCTTTTCCGTCCCTCTGTCACCCTCTGGGTGTCCCCTGTGCACTCCAGCTCRGCGTTGGCTCGGCCGTCCGGGAAGCAGCGGTAGAAGAAGTCAGGCCTTGGCCTGGGCAGGGAAACAAAGCTCAGGGTGTCCAGGGGTGGCTGCTCCAGCACCCAAATCCACTGCCTGTGCCACTGTGATCCTCCCCAGTGTGGGCTAAATGAGCCCATCTGAATGATGGCTGGAGACAGCAACCCCCAGTGTTTGTTCTAATACTGAACTGTATTTAAAGCTAGAAAAAGATCACATTTTTTTCCAGGCTAAGCATGCCCAAGTTGAGCTCCCGGCCCTGCTCTGGCTGTTGCAGACCTGCCCTCCCCTGCAGAACCAGCCCATCCTCACCTCCCCACCACGAGCTTCAGGGCGTTTGTGAAAACCCCGTTCAGGGCAAGAGCAAGGCTGGCAGCTGGGAGAGAGCAGAAGGGTCACATCAGCACTGTCCCCATTTGAAAGGGCAGCACATTGAGGCATTGCAGGGCTCAGGCTGTGTTTTCTGAACAAGGAGGAGCTCACCAAGGCAGGCTTCCCGCGTGTCCTCACGGTCGGCGCTCAGGAACAGCCTGGCCAGGATGATGAGCAGCAAGGGAGACAGAAATGCGATGAACTGCACAAAGCAGGGAGAATTTTAGGTGTCAGTGAAGCAGCTTTAAGCTCTCACCAGAATACACCAGCAGTTACTCAAGAAGACTTAAAGTACAGTTCCCCAAAGCAGCAATCTTTGCAATCACTGCCCTCCATCAGAACACAATCCCCAGCATTTGTACCAGGCCCAGCACRCCCTTCAGCTCTCAGACAGCTCTTSTGGCACACAATKCTGCTCTGGCTGCTCTCTGGGGSTGTCCCAGCTCAGCCTCCCCTCCCTGSCAGCCCCAGCATCAGCACTCTGTCAGCAAAACCAGGGGAGCTGCTGATTCAGAGCCACCAGTTATCACCATTCCCATCTCAGCCCTGGGGCATTTCATCCTGGATACCCCTGGCATGGCTGCCAGGCTTGCAAGGAGTCTGCTCCCACCTCAACTCTGCCATATGTCCTGCTTTACACTGCCAGCTTCAAATGCTGCCCCGAGCTTTTAAGGTTTAGTGGCCACTTTTTGCAGAAAATCCCACCTGCCACTCAAAGCCAAAGCTCCTGACCTCACACCTGTGACACTCTGAAAATCCAACACAGAGTTAGTCAAACCCTTCAAACCAAGCCTGGAGCCCTTGGGAAAACATTGGACAATAAAATGATAATAAAACTCTGCTAAAAATAGCTGCCTGTGAGGAAAACATTCCCTGATAGCAAGAGCGACGCTATCTGCCGTGCGCCTGGTAATCCAGACGTGGAATGGATTATGGACAACAGTGCAAAGTCCCCACTGTTTATAAACTTYAAATCCCAAAGATAACCCTGGACGGTAAAGCCTCAAAAAATAAAGTCTGGCCCAGTTTGTACTGATCTCACAGGATGGGTAGGAAGGGACTATTGGGGACCATCCAGTCCAAACCCCTGCTCAGAGTCCTCAGAGCCCTTCACTCAGGATTGTGYCCAGATGGATTTTGARRATCTCCAGCYAAGGAGACTGCTYGCTGTYTGGRCARCGTGGRTCAGTGCTCAGTCACCCACACAACAAAGTTATTCTTTGTTTTCAGCTGGAAATCACCCCACTGAGCMGAGCCTGGCTGCATCCTCCYAGCGYTCAGCYATTCATCCACATGGATACCACATCCTGCATTTTCAGCAGCRTGCACTAGGAGCTGCAGGTATTGCAGTACAAACCTCTGGCCAGCAGCTTTGCTTTAAAAGCASAACTTGTAATTTGAGAATAAATCAAAGTAAAAGCAGGAAACACTGGCACAGTGGATGTGGATGCCCCAGGACAGGTCAGGGCTTGGTCCGGTGGAAGGYGGGCAATCCCCATAGTGGGARAAATGAAATTATCTTTAAGWTCCCTTCCACACCAAACCCRCTGAACTTACAAACATGAGCACTGTGGGAACACGATCCACCTCCACGTAGGGGTTTTTGTAGAGCCACATCTCCTCRGGCTGCACCACGCGCTGGAAGGGCGGCACGAACTCCATGATCCTGGAATGAGAAAATCCCGTGAGCGGCGGGGAGAGCASGGACAGGGCTGGGAAGGGACCCGCACCCACCCGAAGGTGGCGAGCAGCAGCACCCGCAGCGCGGTCTCGGTCGCCAGCTCCGCTCGCCGCATGGCCACTGCTCCGGGGAGGAGCGAGCGTGGCTCTGCCCGGAGGAGGAACCGAGTCCCGTTATTCACCCGCCCCGCCCCGAGACGGAACTGACTCATCTCAGCCTTGGAACATTCAGAACGATTTATTGAAGTCAACCTCAAGCAAAAAATTTCAGATCAGTGGAATGTCATTAAAAAGCTTTCCAAAGGAATCCTCACAGAAAGAAAGGGGGGGAAAAAAAAAAAAAAAAAAAAAAAACCAAACCAAAATCAAAGGAAACCACATCTGAATTCCAGAGTATTTGTAAAATAAAATAAAATAAAAAAAAGGCAACATCTCAGTAAATAGAATGTACAAAAATTATATGTTCTACCATCACACACAGTCAGTAAGAAGCTAAAATATTACAGGCAAGTCTCGATACGCTCTACCTAGAGGACAGGAGCTATCTATGTACAGGGAACCAGCTTTACAGGCTTCACACTATGCAAGAGGACAGAGGCCAACACAAACCCCCCAAAATATCGGATATCTCAAAGTCTATGCGGCAACATCAAGCCATGATACAGTAATGCCCCGTGGAATCAGACGCTCATCGTCACTCAGGGCTGCATCAGCGTCCAAAAACTCTTCSATACCGACTCCGGTGAATATCAATGCTTTGCTAATAAAGACTCGAGTGATTTCATTAAAATAACATTTCACAGAATCTACAAAGTTTGTTACAGATAAACAAAGTCTACAGAAATAACGACTCTACAAAGGTCCATCTTACAGAGCACGTGGGAATGGAGACGGATCCGTGGGGATCTGTGTTGTGCAACATCACTCGGGTGGAGACAAAAACGGGTTGGGGTCCTGGCAGCACCCCGAGCACCCAGCTCAAACGGGTGTGGTGACCCCCAATGCCGTGGGCTTGTTGGAAAAGGAAATGTGATACAGGAATGAGATACAGATCCACCTGGAAATAGGGAGTGTGGGGTTCATCCAGTCCGTTCATGACCCAAAAGCGAGAGGATCTCCGGAGAGCCACCTGCCCAAAGGGAGGGCACAGCCCCAGGGAACAGGGAGTGGTCAATGGCTTTGGCAAATTCATACGTGTTTTCCCTTTTTAATTCACATTAATCACAGAAATCCCCTACATAAAGCAYAGTTCCAGCTGCCCACCTCCCACCCTGGAGCAGCGAGACCCTTCCAGGGGAACACAGACCTGAGCTGCTCACTCAGAAATAAATATCAGAGGGAACAGCTTTTCTCTTCTTCCTTTTTCRCCTTTTCTTTTTCCTTTTTCCCTCAGAACAACACTGGGAATACATCCAACGTGTAGGAGTGTATCGTAAGTGCAAATGTTTTTGCTACACAAAGAGAAATGGCAGGGAAAGCTGATGGGAATGGGAAGCAAAGGGACAGAATCGCTCCGAGGTCACCTCTCCCACAACACCCAGTGAACACACTGCTCCCAAACCCTCCCGTGTGCCATGGATCCACTGGACAGCAGGAAGGAATTTAGGGGAAGTCAAGGACATTTTCAATGCAGTATACAAAAAAAATCATGTATAAATAAAAAAAGCTGTAAAAGGAACCGCAGAGCTTCAAGTACATTAAACCCTGAATTCAATGAGGCAGAGGTTTCCATGTTAAAGTGACTTCTCCGTACCAGCACCCCCATCCCACCCTCCCCCCTCCCCGCCCACATAATTCTGTAGTTTCAATATATACAGATTTTATGCTCATTGATAATTATGTCTAGTAATTGTGTCTTTCCCATTCTATCCTGAAATTAAGATAAAAGAAGGGGTTTTTTTTAGAAGAAAGGCCAAAAATCCACATTCCAGCCCTGTTACTCCATTTGAACGCATTCTCCAAGACCATTTGGTGACCAGAGAASATGATTTGCCCACAGAATTTCCTTCCTGAGCTGCAAATGCCTTCAGCAGTCTGTGGACAGGACAAGTCTATACAATAATCTGTCAGCTACAACAGCTAATGCTTGCACCGTGTTTTCAGGAATGGTGGAGCTGCCCTCTGCACCACTGGAATCACAAAATCATGGAATTCTTGTTTCTACACTCGTCTGGTCACAGGCTGCAGAATATCTGCACTGTGCTCATGTGCAGCTGCAGAGGAAAAGCTCCAGGAATCCACAAACCCCATTCCCTGGGCAGAGCTGGAGGCAGGAGGGCACCTAAATGTGGGGCCACCCCAAAAATTTAACACAAAAGTAAGGGAAAGTGTGCTGGTGTGTTCCCATGAAGGAACAACAACGTGCTGGGCCAGCACACTGCAGCTTCCACCAAAATCCTAATTCTGTGGATTCCCTCCAGGTCTCAGCATAAAATGATCAAATTATCCAAGATTCCTTATTTTGGAGCCCACAGAAATTCATTCAGCAGCTGCCTCCTGCTCTGGGGAAGCCAATCCATCAGAGCAGCTGTGAAATCTTTTCTTTACAAAGGAACTAGATTCTGGTTCCTCAGTTTACAAACACAGGGTTAAAACGTGCACATTAACATCTGAGTCTGGCACTCAGGACAGCCCATCCAATCACCAAAATCCTCTGAATTGGCCTTTCCTCGTCTCACAATGTTAAAGCTTTTTGAAAGATGCACCTTCTCTCCAGTTCAGGGTTTTGTTCACCAACTGCACAACCTCACAAACCATCTCCTGTTTTCCYTTCTGAATCCAAGCCCAGCTATTGGCTGCTCTGAACGATTTTTTGGTGGAAAAAAGAAGCACCTGTGGGAATTTTGAACACAAAGTGGCCCAAGACATGGAGCAGCACAGGAGGAGCAGCAAGCTCCATCCCAAGATAATCAGTGAACATAATCAAGCCTAATAAATAATATAAAGTAAACACCTYACGCCCTATAGATGCAGTAGCAAGAGCTGTGTTTGGAATTTCTGAGAAGGTAAAACACCCTTAATAAGAGCTTAAAAAGAGACATTTCTCACACAAAATGTTAAGAAAAATAAAATCCTTTTTTTGTAATTTTTTTTTCTTTAAAAATACCAAAATCCAGCACTGCTTTCCAGCAGGGTTAGTGTCATTCCCTCAGCAGAGCACGGCCACAGCATGAAGTGCTTTAGAGATCCCAAGAGCTGCACAGGAGTGCCCCAAACTCCTGCAGGTTCTGTCACCCCAGGGTGGGCAGGGGTCCAGGCCCAGTCCAAGGCACAGCAGCTGCTCAGGGACTGTAGTGTACCACTCTACAATTGCACACACAAAAAAACCTCCCCCTGTGCAGAAATGTGAGGATGAGAAGGACACCAGGCAGAGGCAAGACATGTTCTAAATTCCATACGGACTTTTTTAGCAAATTTTCTTGATCTGAGAAGTCTCTGTGTKCCTGTAGATTTGTGCAAGCAGTTTTCCAGAGACAACCTTCTGAATTCCAAGGCTCAATTCAGCCAGATGCCAGCAACACTTGATTATTATCAACACCCAGGAGAATAGCTATCATCAGTACATAAATCAGAAATACCAGCCAGGGCAAGGGGGACACACAGTGCTTGGTGAGATCGTGGGCTGGGGGCAAGAGTCACCAAAAGCAGCTCCAGCCAGGCACTCCTGGCTCCTTGCACATAAAAAATGGAGGAAGATGGGTTTTCTAAAGAAACTCTGGAGCAAGAGCCAGCCTAAGCTACTTAAAAAACCTCACTGAAGGAGTCTGTCCCTCTGATTAACAGAGGAAATCCAAGAGAGAACCATCTCCTGAAGGTTTCAGCTGGCTGCTGGGATAGGGCCCCTTACCCAGACACAAAATACCCTGTTCATTGAGGAAGTGAGTGCTGAGATGTTCCTCAGCTCCATTAACAGCAAAGATTTAAGTTAGAAGATCTCTTTTTAAGAACAACAAAAAAATCTTAACATTCAATCCAAACCAACACACACATGGGCCAGGTCCTTCACGTGCCCAAGTCTCCCTGAAGCCAAGGGGAGCTGAAAAGGCAGGACTGAAGAATCACACTCAGAAACTGCCACCAAACAGTGCAGACACAGATGATGAACCCACTGGCAGCACTGATGGAGGCTGGGAGCCTCTCCTGCCTGGGAAGGGCTTCCAAAATAGGTGGGATAAATTAAAAACACTGTGCAATTCAACTCAGAGCTTCCATCTGCAAACACCCAACACAGCTCTGGAGCAAGGAACCAGCATTTCCTCCCCAGTGCCAGATCTTGTTACAAAAGCACTTCCCAGAAKTCACACACCTGATTTCTCACAGGAAAAGCTTCACAATAATATTCATAAGTAAACATGAGAGACAACCTACCTTCTCCAATGCCTTTAACAATAAGTAGTGGAACAGAGGCATTTCAGACACCCACACCTGTCTGTTTGGCATCTCAGTGTTACAGAGGGGAGAGGCTTTGCTCTTTCCATAAACTAGACAGAAAAGTTACGTTGGCTTCACTGTTTTGTTTTTAAAGACACGTTGACTGATCAAAGCCAGATCTTCAACACCCTTTCAAAATTAAATAAATAAATATGTGGCTATGCTTTGCTTTCTACACTCAAAGAACATTATTTTAAACAGAATATTCCTTTCACTGTCAAAAGGTCTACGGTTTTCTTCGAAGGTTCCTGGTTTCCAACAGTAAAAGCTGCTGTAGCACATTCAAGGGTAAAAGAAAGACCAACCAATAAAAAGCAAACACCAGTGCCTGTCCTGCTCGCTCAGGTCAATGGTCCCRTCCCAGCTCACACATGACAGCCACGAGGACAAAGCCCAGGGTGGCTCTGCAGTCTCTCCAAGTCCATCTCCTGTTGCCCCTYTTCTCCCCTCCCGCGTTTGTTTTTAACCCAATTCACTCCTTTGCCTCTTCTGCAGCGTTCTGTGCTTCCAATTTGCACTTGATCTTGCTCCAGTACTCGGGGGCCACGGGAGATTTGGGGTCGTGTGAGGAGCAGCAGAGGCGGCCGTCCAGCGCCGACAGCAGCAGAGCTCCCTTCTCGTGATCCTTGCAGAAGGAGTGGGGACAGAACTCACAGAAGGAAACGGCAGGATTGCTACACAGGTCGCACTGATGCCACGGACATTCCCACTTTCCTGAGGATGGGAGGGAAGGAAGCTGCAATTAGTGCACTTTGGAGACAGCASTGGCCTTCAATCCTCACTCTGTGTTGGAATTGCTCAGATAAACACAAAGAAAATGCAGAAAAACCAACTGCTACTTCTGTTTCTCATGCACTAGAATCTGACTGAACACAGTG